AATGTGGTTACGAGATCTGTCAAATCAGCCAAACCCGTATAGAGATTCTTTACTGAAAATAACAGACAAAATATAAAGATTTTGCATGTGAAATTTGAAAATTTCCCGGTGCACAAAAGTATTTTTAATCTTAAAATGAAAATTACTTTGAATAGGCAACATACAAAAAGAAAAAAAAGACATGAGAAAAACACTGCTTTATAAACCTAAGACTTAAAATAAAAAAAAAATTATATTTTATGTATGAAAGCAATGTAATGTTTACTGATAATCTGCCAAATTTCATTAACACTTGCTAACTAATTTAAAAGTTATAGCATGAAAACTATAACAAGCACAATATGGTTAAGAGGTCAGTCCCAGGAACCGAGCCCATGCTGAAAGAATTAAGGGACATGGAATTATCTCTATTGCTAGTTTTCCTATTGTTATCAAACTCTTATGGCTCTGGGATAAATGCTTTAAAGAAGATGTTTGGAGTTGTGAAACATTTTTCATACTGCATTACAAGAGAAACATTTGGTAATTTTAACCAGTAGATTTTTTTACACCTACATTTTAAAATTGTATTGCTTTTAATTTTTTTTTGCTTTCAATTTCCTGCATATATAATAAAGTTTTCTGCATTTATGTAACCTATTTACATATATAAAACTGTGTATTAATTCAGTTACATGATTTAATATCAGAACTTCAGGATTTCTGAAGTACTGCATAATTATCTAGTTTTGGTCAATAAAGTCTAACAACATTACAAGATGGTGCTTTGTAGAAACTGAAAGAATGAAGTTTCTGGTGTAACTCAAGTGTGGAGTATAATTACAGGATTATATAGATATTTACACATACCATTGTCACACTTTTTAAGGAACAAAGAATCAGTGATAACTTACACTTAGAAATCAAATTGTTTTCCTATCTCATAACAAATACTTGTGATCTAGGGTCACAAAACATTTTCTGGATCACACAATATAATACCAAGCCATGATTACTATAGTATTGCACATACAATCTCCAACATAACTGATCTAAATGCTACTATGAGTAAGAAATGGATACACAAGTTCTTAAAATTTAACAACAAGGAATAGAATACATAACTTATTAAAAAATAAAGAAACACTTGATTTTGTTGCAGTATGAAAGTCCCTGTAATTGCACAACTGTTACATAAGGCAACAAAAATGTTGAATCTACCTCAACAATTACTTCCATCTACTCATGTGACATCTACATCTTTTTTCATATTTATTACCTCTCACTCTTTAACCTTTACCCTTTCTATTCCTGTTAAAAAGCACTCAAATTCTGGGTCTTTTGTAATGTAATTGACTTGCTGACAACTTTTTCAGCAATTTTGCAGATATCAATGTTAGGGTTGCTATAGTACAGTACTGATATTGTTTGGAGAATTCAGTACTATGTGATTAAAGTTTTATCATCGCTATGTGATACTACTTAGATTAAATTCAACTATCACCAAATCTCAATTTCAGTATCAAAAGCTACAGAATTTTCGTCAATGTGGTGCAATACAAACATTTAATTTGTCAGCAAAGCAAATTAGCTTTTGTTATCATCATGACATGAAGATACAGCTAATTTTTATGTATAGATCACATGATTTATACTGCTAGTAGGGAGTCTCACAGAATCATAGTTCCCAGCCATGGAAGTGCATGAATGCCAAGTTGCAGTTGCAAATATATAAATCTCCATAAACAAAATTCTAAATTATTGTACACCAAAAACAAATGAAAAGCATCTTCAGTACTGTTACACTCTTAGTTTGCACTGTTTCTTTCAAGGCAACTGTACTACCACTAGTTGTAAATCTGCTATAATAAAATCGCAATGATCGCTAAACCTTTCCAATTCCATACAGCAGCAACCAGTGAGCAAACATTAGAACCAAAAACATGGTATCAGCAAGACGTTGCTGGACCAATAACAGCCAGTGATACATCAAACGATGGTTCTCTTCATGCTTGATATTGGTCTAGGCAGTTTCATTGGATACAGAGGCATTTTCTATTTGAAAACACACAAAAAACAATAAACCCATTAATAAATACTTATTGGTCATTGAATTTGTTGAAGCAAAGCCATAGAATTAACTGCATAAACCAATATATATATATATGGCTGCCCAACTCAAACTGACAGCATGTCAAAGAATTGTAATTTTAAATAGATATGTTGACTTGGCAACTTACACCATATCACTGGGCATATACAGATGATATGTTGGCCTGGCAACAGTCTGCTATACATCAAATCAGTTTAATTTACTTTATAACCAAGGAGAATACATCTCCCCCTTTTACTTTCAGAAGTACATATGTAAGTCCATACTTCATTTTTAACATTTGATTGTTGACAATTTGCATTTCATTTATCAATATAGCATGAATTAACCTGATTACTACCGACTACTAACTTTGTGTAGCCAATG